TCTGGCAACATAATTTTTAGTCAAAATTCATGTCAAAATGGTACCCTCAAATATCCGATATAGACATAGGTCGAAACTTCCCACCCCCATAACTTGGTCAAATCTCATCCGATTTTCATGAGGTTTGGCTTTTTGTTCATGGTTTGGCCTCATTATCAATTCTGCATCAAAATCTGGCAACAGAATTTTTGGTCAAAATTCATGTCAAAATGGTACCCTCAAATATCCGATATAGACATAGGTCAAGACTTATCACCCCCATAACTTGGTCAAATCTCATCCGATTTTCATGTGGTGTGGCTTTTTGTTCATGGTTTGGGCTCTAGATAAATTCTGCATCAAAATCTGGCAATATAATTTTTGGTCAAAATTCATGTCAAAATGGTACCCTCAAATATCCGATATAGACATAGGTCGAAACTTCCCACCCCCATAACTTGGTCAAATCTCATCCGATTTACATGAGGTGTGGCTTTTTGTTCATGGTTTGGCCTCATTATCAATTCTGCATCAAAATGTGGCAACAGAATTTTTGGTCAAAATTCATGTCAAAATGGTACCCTCAAATATTCGATATAGACATAGGTCAAAACTTCCCACCCCCATAACTTGGTCAAATATCATCCGATTTTCATGTGGTGTGGCTTTTTGTTCATGGTTTGGGCTCTAAATCAATTCTGCATCAAAATCTGGCAACATAATTTTTGGTCAAAATTCATGTCAAAATGGTAACCTCAAATATCCGATATAGACATAGGTCAAAACTTCCCACCCCCATAACTTGGTCAAATCTCATCCGATTTTCATGAGGTGTGGCTTTTTGTTAATGGTTTGGGTTCATTTTCAATTCTGCATCAAAATGTGGCAACAGAATTTTTGGTCAAAATTCATGTCAAAATGGTACCCTGAAATATCCGATATAGACATAGGTCAAAATTTCCCACCCCCATAACTTGGTCAAATCTCATCCGATTTACATGAGGTGTGGCTTTTTGTTCATGGTTTGGGCTCTAAATCAATTCTGCATCAAAATCTGGCAACATAATTTTTGGTCAAAATTCATGTGTAAATGGTACCCTCAAATATTCGATATAGACATAGGTCAAAACTTCCCACCCCCATAACTTGGTCAAATCTCATCCGATTTTCATGAGGTGTGGCTTTTTGTTCATGGTTTGGGTTCATTATCAATTCTGCATCAAAATGTGGCAACAGAATTTTTGGTCAAAATTCATGTCAAAATGGTACCCTGAAATATCCGATATAGACATAGGTCAAAATTTCCCACCCCCATAACTTGGTCAAATCTCATCCGATTTACATGAGGTGTGGCTTTTTGTTCATGGTTTGGGCTCTAAATCAATTCTGCATCAAAATGTGGCAACAGAATTTTTGGTCAAAATTCATGTCAAAATGGTACCCTCAAATATTCGATATCCGAAACAACAGAATTTTTGGCCAAAATTCATGTCAAAATAGTACCCTCAAATATTCGATATAGACATAGGTCAAAACTTCCCACCCCCATAACTTGGTCAAATCTCATCCGATTTTCATGTGGTGTGGCTTTTTGTTCATGGTTTGGCCTCATTATCAATTCTGCATCAAAATCTGGCAACATAATTTTTGTTCAAAATTCATGTCAAAATGGTAACCTCAAATATCCGATATAGACATAGGTCGAAACTTCCCACCCCCATTACTTGGTCAAATCTCATCCGATTTTCATGAGGTTTGGCTTTTTGTTCATGGTTTGGCCTCATTATCAATTCTGCATCAAAATGTGGCAACAGAATTTTTGGTCAAAATTCATGTCAAAATGGTACCCTGAAATATCCGATATAGACATAGGTCAATACTTCTCACCCCCATAACTTGGTCAAATCTCATCCGATTTTCATGTGGTGTGGCTTTTTGTTCATGGTTTGGGCTCATTATCAATTCTGCATCAAAATCTGGCAACATAATTTTTAGTCAAAATTCATGTCAAAATGGTACCCTCAAATATCCGATATAGACATAGGTCGAAACTTCCCACCCCCATAACTTGGTCAAATCTCATCCGATTTTCATGAGGTTTGGCTTTTTGTTCATGGTTTGGGCTCTAGATAAATTCTGCATCAAAATCTGGCAACATAATTTTTGGTCAAAATTCATGTCAAAATGGTAACCTCAAATATCCGATATAGACATAGGTCAAAACTTCCCACCCCCATAACTTGGTCAAATCTCATCCGATTTTCATGAGGTGTGGCTTTTTGTTCATGGTTTGGGTTCATTATCAATTCTGCATCAAAATGTGGCAACAGAATTTTTGGTCAAAATTCATGTCAAAATGGTACCCTGAAATATCCGATATAGACATAGGTCAAAATTTCCCACCCCCATAACTTGGTCAAATCTCATCCGATTTACATGAGGTGTGGTTTTTTGTTCATGGTTTAGGCTCTAAATCAATTCTGCATCAAAATCTGGCAACATAATTTTTGGTCAAAATTCATGTGTAAATGGTACCCTCAAATATTCGATATAGACATAGGTCAAAACTTCCCACCCCCATAACTTGGTCAAATCTCATCCGATTTTCATGAGGTGTGGCTTTTTGTTCATGGTTTGTGTTCATTATCAATTCTGCATCAAAATGTGGCAACAGAATTTTTGGTCAAAATTCATGTCAAAATGGTACCCTGAAATATCCGATATAGACATAGGTCAAAATTTCCCACCCCCATAACTTGGTCAAATCTCATCCGATTTACATGAGGTGTGGCTTTTTGTTCATGGTTTGGGCTCTAAATCAATTCTGCATCAAAATGTGGCAACAGAATTTTTGGTCAAAATTCATGTCAAAATGGTACCCTCAAATATTCGATATCCGAAACAACAGAATTTTTGGCCAAAATTCATGTCAAAATAGTACCCTCAAATATTCGATATAGACATAGGTCAAAACTTCCCACCCCCATAACTTGGTCAAATCTCATCCGATTTTCATGTGGTGTGGCTTTTTGTTCATGATTTGGGCTCCAAATCAATTCTGCATCAAAATCTGGCAACATAATTTTTGGTCAAAATTCATGTCAAAATGGTAACCTTAAATATCCGATATAGACATAGGTCAAAACTTCCCACCCCCATAACTTGGTCAAATCTCATCCGATTTTCATGTGGTGTGGCTTTTTGTTTATGATTTGGGCTCCAAATCAATTCTGCATCAAAATCTGGCAACATAATTTTTGGTCAAAATTCATGTCAAAATGGTAACCTCAAATATCCGATATAGACATAGGTCAAAACTTCCCACCCCCATAACTTGGTCAAATCTCATTCGATTTTCATGAGGTTTGGCTTTTTGTTCATGGTTTGGCCTCATTATCAATTCTGCATCAAAATCTGGCAACAGAATTTTTGGTCAAAATTCATGTCAAAATGGTACCCACAAATATCCGATATAGACATAGGTCAAAACTTCCCACCCCCATAACTTGGTCAAATCTCATCCGATTTTCATGAGGTGTGGCTTTTTGTTCATGGTTTGGCCTCATTATCAATTCTGCATCAAAATCTGGCAACATTATTTTTGGTCAAAATTCATGTCAAAATGGTACCCTCAAATATTCGATATAGACATAGGTCAAAACTTTCCACCCCAATAACTTGGTCAAATCTCATCCGATTTTCATGTGGTGTGGCTTTTTGTTCATGGTTTGGGCTCTAAATCAATTCTGCATCAAACTGTGGCAACATAATTTTTGGTCAAAATTCATGTCAAAATGGTAACCTCAAATATCCGATATAGACATAGTTCGAAACTTCCCACCCCCATAAATTGGTCAAATCTCATCCGATTTTCATGAGGTGTGGCTTTCTGGTCATGGTTCGGCCTCATTATCAATTCTGCATCAAAATCTGGCAACAGAATTTTTGGTCAAAATTCATGTCAAAATGGTACCCTGAAATATCTGATATAGACATAGGTCAGAATTTCCCACCCCCATAACTTGGTCAAATCTCATCCGATTTACACGAGGTGTGGCTTTTTGTTCATGGTTTGGCCTCATTATCAATTCTGCATCAAAATCTGGGAACATAATTTTTGGTCAAAATTCATGTCAAAATGCTACCCTCAAATATCCGATATAGACATAGGTCGAAACTTCCCACCCCCATAACTTGGTCAAATCTCATCCGATTTTCATGACCCATAACTTGGTCAAATCTCATCCGATTTTCATGAGGTTTGGCTTTTTGTTCATGGTTTGGCCTCATTATCAATTCTGCATCAAAATCTGGCAACACAATTTTTGGTCAAAATTCATGTCAAAATGGTAACCTCAAATATCCGATATAGACATAGGTCAAAACTTCCCGCCCCCATAACTTGGTCAAATCTCATCCGATTTTCATGAGGTGTGGCTTTCTGGTCATGGTTTGGGCTCTAAATCAATTCTGCATCAAATTCTGGCAACAGAATTTTTGGTCAAAATTCATGTCAAAATGGTACCCTGAAATATCCGATATAGATATAGGTCAAAACTTCCCACCCCCATAACTTGGTCAAATCTCATCCGATTTTCATGAGGTGTGGCTTTCTGGTCATGGTTTGGGCTCTAAATCAATTCTGCATCAAATTGTGGCAACATAATTTTTGGTCAAAATTCATGTCAAAATGGTACCCTCAAATATGCATTTCACAAATGCATTTCACTAATTTAATGTTACTGTTAATAAGCTGTGACGATGCAAGCCTAACATAAATTGCTGTTAAATCTGCATTATTCGCCCTGATAAAAAAGTCTGGCAAATGAATGTTATTTCACAGTAACAATGTGAAGCTTTGAATGTGACTCTGTAAATGTTTTTGCAGTTGAACGCCAAGTTGAAGTGACCCTGTTTGCCGCTGCAGAGTTGCCACCCTACAGAGCAGTCTACATATGGCAACACCAAAAAAATGGAAAACTATCAATGGGGCTCGTCCTAATCCATTGTTTTGTACTCACCCAGGGAGGTCAAAATGAGAAATATTATAAATACTCCGAATTCCATGAGTGCATCGCGCACCTCCTCGTCGGTGGTGTAGAGAATACGGGAAGCTTTTGCTTTTATAATTTCCCGAGCTCCAATGGTGGATCTGCGGTGTTGTGTAGCCTCGGGATCCGGGTCGGCTTCACTTGGCCGACTAGCTTCTCTGCGCTTGAATATATGGCCAAAGGCGCTGCTGGAGCGACGCCCCGAACGTGCGGGATGTGGCTCATAGGTCTCTGGCTGTTCGGTTCGTGTGTGTATGACCTCAGGCCGATCGGATGGTGGCGGCAGAGTAGGAGCATACGATTCCACGGGTGGTGGTCCGTATGAATCCATCTCTTTGTCTGGCAGAACAACACGCTTCTTACGACGTGATGAACGCTTAGGCTGCAGATCGCTTTGCGTTTCCGCAGTTTGCGTTACAAACTGAGGCGTTGGTGAACTGTCACCGGGATTTTCAGCTCGTGGACGTGGTTGGACGGGCGGAGGTGGGCCGCGAGGCGAACGCTTCGGCGGCTTGGGACGTGTTGCCTTCTTCGAGGTACTGGGACTATCTTCATTATCAGACATTTTCGGTTATATTCTTTGTTCTATTTGAATATTCAAATTTTGTTTGTTCGTTTTTGTTTTTTTTGGTTTTTATTTTTTTTTTATGGGATTTGTTTATTTCGCTTTGCTTTGTGCTTCACAAGCTGCTTGACTGAGACTGAGCTGCTGGCAAACGGGCTGCGCTCTGACAGCACACAGCTTAAAGTTTGAACAATGTTTGCTTTGACCTGGCGAGCTATCAAAATGTGGGTATGGCTCAGTGTGTGTGTGTGTGTGTGTGTGCATAAAAAATGGCAAGAAACGCAGCGAACATCTGCACACAGCAACTGCATCCTCATAGCCAAACACATCCTGGCAGCCCCTTTATACATATGCATATTTCATGCGTTAACGCCAACATTTGAATTGCAGCAGCAGCAGCAGGACAGTGGCTGGGACAAGGGCAGGGGCATGGGCAGGACAGTGGCAGGGGCAGGGGCAGGGGCAGGCTTTGTGGCAGTTGCAACTGCAGGCAGTTTTTGATTTATGTTCCTCCTCAGCGCAACGCCTTTGGGCTATCAGCGCCCAGTTGAGTTGTCAGGACATATAAAAAATGCATGCGAAATCGCATAAATGTGTAAAGATCCCTCAACAAACCGCTCGCATTGGCTTAAGGACCCAGCTCCTTGAATAACACAATAATCTGATATTCAATGCACATTCAAATAGTTTTACTAAAGTACTTCAACGCCATTTGGCCTTTTTATATGTAATAAACAGACAAAATTAAGCAAACGCAGAGAAATAAATCAGTTATGTTAAGCAAGTCAAGAAAATTTGCAGTATCGATAAATTTTGTAAAATCATTTACTATAATAATATGCTAAGAAGCTTTTAGTATATATGTGAAAAGATAGGACTTATATTAAGGACAAATCAAGGATAACTAACTGCTCTTGCAAGGTTTCGAATCCTCTTTGACTAAGTTACAATCCTAAGTTACATCCCGAGAACAAGAACACTTTTAACGCTCATATTATAGTATATAACGAGAGCCAAAAAGTTTTTTATTATTTAAATTGAATATATTATTTATTAAAAAGTTGCTTTGTACAAATCAAGGGTTTGCCAAAGTATCCTATGATAATACTTGCGAGCCGCTTTAGATCAAGTTAACTGAAACAGTTCACTCGCGACTCAGTTCTGCTTAATCGATATTTTAGATTTGCTATCGAGTTATCGTGAATACCACAGTTTGTGGTCCTATTGTGAATAGGGTATGACTCATTTTGATTGTTCAATATTCTAAATCTCCTTTTTTGAGACCTTAAGTTTAAAGACTTTGGTACATTTTAGATAAATAAATATTTTACCTTTTATGCACTTACAACATCATCTCGTCTTTATCGATAATTATTAAATAAAACTCGTTTATTGTTTTATATTTATTTTATTGTTTGAAAATATTGAAAGGTTTGTTTCTTTGCATTTATTTTAAAATATTTATAAATTTTACTTTTCAATATTCACTAAACAGCTATTAAAACTCTAGATCATTTCTTTGTCCTTTTTTATTAAATATTATAACTATTTCATAGGTAAATTTATACGTAATTTTTATGCAATTTAAGTACACTTTTTTTGTTGTATTTTTTGAAAACAAATAATAGCTTGAAATTTCTAACAAAATAGTTTATAACCATTTAAATATAATATTGTTGTTTCGAAGCAAGAAATCAATTGTAGTTGTGCTTAGGTCAAGATTAAGAAACGAAAGGCTAAGTTTTAAAGTACTACTGACATAGGAAATACGTGTGTGACATTATATTAAAGCTAAGTAGCTGCAGGGTTTTTCATTTTGTTTTAAACTTTTTTCAGTTTTGTTTTTGGTGAATTTTTTAAGAGTTTTTCTTAGCCGAAAAAAAGCCGAAATTTGCAATGTGTGCTCGCTACGAACGGAATTTCGAATGTTTTGTGCCATTTAATTATGACTACTAAAGGTTATAATTACACATATGTCTATAAATATAAATATATAGTTGTATTATAATTATGAAACAGAGCTGTTATCGATAACAATTTCGATGCCAATTCAAGCGATTCGAAAATTCCACTCAAACTTTTTGTTGGGTTTTTTCTTTTTGCAAATTGAGTCGAAATCTAAATCGAAAACAGAACCGAATTCTTTTTTTTTTATATATTTTTATTATATTTTTGATTAGCACTAGAAGCTACAAATTAATTTGCTAGTTTAATTTGTTTATATATTTTCTCATTTTACTTTATGTGTTATTAGGTTTTCTTTTTTCATTGAAAATGTTCGTTTGATTTTCCATTGTTGCTTAACTATTTGGCTTTGAAAATACTTTGGCGCCACAACGCAGCTTCAGTTTTGTGTTAACATTGTATTGTTGTTTATTTTGTTTTCACCCCTTTTTGACTTTTCCCGTGTTTAGTTTTGTTTTCCTTTCTGTTTTTGCCAACCACATGGATAAAGAATATAATGCACTAGAAATTGTTTTCAGCAAAAGTGATTACAACACGGATGCAACTTTTAAGCTACTTCTTTGGTTGGTTTTGTGTGTGGATGTGTTTTTTTTTTTCATTGTTTTTGTTTATTAGCTTGTTTTTAACTTTTCTTCTTGTCTGTGCATCTAGCGAAAACATTATTTGTGCCCCCAACTCTTGCCCCACGTTTGCATATTTGGTGATTTTTTTTTTTTTCTTAACATTAGAAGATACATTTGATAATTGGTCCTTTGGTTTCAAAACTTTCACGCTAAAAGGCACAATATGGAACTAAACTATTTCTATTTGTGTATCGGTGTGTGTGTGTGTGTCTGTGTGTGTGTGTATGTTAGCCACGCCCCCTTGCTGTTGTTTAGTAGGGTTTGCCCGTATCCTTGGGCCGCTTTAGCTGCACCTTCAAGCGCTTTGTGCCAATCTGAAAGCCATGCATGGCCTGTATGGCCGCATTTGCCGAATGCGGATTGTCGTAGGAGACGAAGCCGAAGCATTTCGATAGATTTGTTTGCTTATCGATAAACACTTTGGCCGATAGCACATTGCCAAAGGGCAAAAATGTCGAGGCGAGATCGGTATCTATGAATTCCTGAGGTAGATGATAGATAAACAGATTGCTGCCATCGGGACCTGTGATTGGAAAGAGCATTTGTTAATATTATTATTATATGATTATTTTATTATATATTATGCCTGTACAGTGGCCGCTCGATAAATGGATTAGTGCATTAATTCATATTATATTTAGGCAGTTATTTGAAATGTACTAAAGAAATGATTGAATTTGTATATTGACTGAATACTGGATTGACTGACTGCTAGATTGACTGTCTGATGGATAATAATTATAATATGAATGCTCCCCAATTATAGCGTCTGATTCTATTGAAAATGAAAATCCCAATTCTCATAACTGAAAGTTGTTATATGCGAGCGTTCACTGTAGGCATTTTTGGACTTACCCTCGATCTGTTTGCCTGCCACGCCCGCGGCGGCTGCCTGCAAGGCGCTGGCATTCAACGACTGAGCGGCTCCATAAGCCGCGGCGCTGGCGCCGTTGGTCAGGCCGCTTAGTGTGCTGGTGCCGTAGGGATCTGCGGCGTTGGCGGGCCCTAAAAAAATGTGAAAATTTTTGATTTAAAAAAAAATTTTGCTTGTACAATACGAACAATTTTGGCGCTGGGCTGGAGAGAGGAATAAAACCATACAAGTTGTTGTTTAAGCTTATGCAAGTTTTGGTTTGATAAACCAAATTACACGACACACAGAGAGACAGAGACAGAAACAGACTGTTGACACGCCCACACACGCACACACACTCGCACACACTCTCACACTCGCACACACTCACTAGGTTAACGCATATGGAAATCGAGCTTTATATATTTGGAGGCAGGTTTTTCTTTGTTTTGCTTTGCATTTTGTTATTGTTGTTATTTTTATATATTTTTTCTTCTGCTGCCTTACATTATTAAATTTTTATACATCCTTTTGTTGTAGCATAAAAAAATTTGTTAGCCTTTGTTGTGCGCACGGCGCCTGTTTTTTAATTGAGCCGAGGCCCAGCCCCAACACCGAACCCCAACCCCAACCTCCACCACACGTTTGCTTTGTGCAACACACACACACATACACTCACAAATTTTTGTAATCTACTAAAAATTTATTACGTTTTCTCGACGTTTCTTTTGTTATTTACATACGTGTAATACATAACAAACAAATGAAAATAAAAAACCTACTAAAAATAAAGAAAGAACTTGTTACGCAATGAAAGTTTTGCATTTCATGCAATTTTATATGCACTCGACATGTGGGGAAACGAAAAAGAAAAAAGATGAAAATCATCATAAACATTGGTCTCGTTTTTTTTATTTACCATCAAATTATGGCTCTGCATTTTTTATGCGCAACATTTATTTTATTTGGGGCTTGGCAGCACAATTTAGAAAGTTATTAATTTTTCAAAAAGCCTTCTGGCAAATTGGGGAAATGGCAATTGAAGAGCTGTCTAATCAGTGTTTAAAAAATGATAAATCGATAACATTTTACTGAATGCCAGGGTTGCTAAGACTAACGATATTTGTGATGCTCTTCGATATTTCGATAAGCACATGTATATATATATAATAATCGATTATTTTAATCGCATCTGTTTAAGATAATGTGATAATGTGTGCGCGAATATATAATATAAAATAAGCGATTTTAGACTTATTTTGGCCCATTTTATCGTGTGTGTCGATTTGGATCGATTTTCTTGTATATTAAATAAATTTACTCGTGTTAGATAGATTTTATCAAATATGTATTTCTAGGTGCATGTCGGAAGATTTTATCTTATATTAGATAGATTTTATGGTATATTAGATAAATGTTTATCGTATAATTCTTTCTATGCGCCTATCGAAGTGCTTTTAATCGATTTCAACCTTTTCTTTAATCGAAAATCGCCAGGCTATATTGTTTAACAGGACTTTGTAAAGAAACCCCTTGAAGTATTTTCTTATAATTACTAAACAGGTTTTAAAAATTTAATATATTTGCCTTTATAAATAAACTAATAATTTTGCTGCCTCTCTATACGTATATTTTTGTGTCTATTCTTCATAAGCCCCACAGAGTGCATACAATATTTAAATAAAATGTCCATTGTGTTGTAACTTTTAAGCCACTCTGACGCTGATTATCTCAGCGCTGGCATTATATTTGTGCATAAAATTCACCATGAATTCAACACAAACTATATGCAAAAAGTATTTTAATACCTATTGTCAAACTTTTGAGGCCACGAGTTTTTTTTTTCAGGCTTTTAATTCATTTCGACGACTATGTTCGGCTCCTGATAGGATTTTGATTTTGAAACTGACGTTGCAATTTTTTTTTATCTATATATTTTATTTTATTTTGTGATTGCAATCAACCACGTTCTGTAGCTGTGTCTATTTTTGTTCTTCTGTTTTTTGCTGTCAGTGGCATGATTTGATTTTTTCCAGTTGCTTTTATTAAAATTTTGTTGTGTCCAAATTGTAAAATTGTGAAACGCTTTTTCTTCTTGTTATTGTTATGGCATAACAATTTTTATTGACAGAGTGTGTAAATAAAAACAGGCAGCGCTTGAACAGTTAGAAACAATGCAAAGGGGCGGCACACGAGGGTACAACTACATGTGTTTTTAATTAACAATAGGCTGCTTGTGGGGTCCGACTGAAGGGGGCTTTTTTTCAGGTGGTCGCGCTTAGAATAGAGTTGCATTTGGTTTATTTGATAAGGAAATTCAACTAACTGAATTTCATATATTTTTTAGTTTCTAAAATATCAAAAATCGACAATTTAGACAATTTGATAAGAATAGGTTCCAGCTTTGTATATTATAATGAAGAGTTTTTTGGTTGGAGTTTTTATTTCGGATAAGTACTAAGAGACTTTCATATTCTTACATTTTATTATGTGGTGGGAACATTTATTTTAATGGAAAGAAAGCACTATTCAAATATCATTTTCGATCGACTGATATCGACTATGGTAAATAGTGCTTTATTATTTTTGGGTCTAACATATATACAGAGGCGTACGTAAAGCAAAAAGTGAGCCTTTTTGGATGACCCAAACATAAAATACATTACTTATCGATAGTTTTTATTTGTGTTATTTATCGATAAAAAAGGATTTATTGAAGCTACCGTCGATTGTTATTGTTTATTTATGTACATATATACATAAATAAAAAAAATATGTTTTTATCGATTTTAATTAATAAATTTACTCCCTTAAAAAGTTCTTTAAATATTTCTTGAATTCGATTGTCAAAAATGTAAGATAGTGATACATTTTCCTTGTATATTTAAAACTTTTGATATACAAACCTGTGAGAACTTAGTTTTGCAGCCCTAATATATTATTGTTCAAGTATTTACTTCTTTGAAATATAATACTCGAATTTCTATGTCAAAAATGTAAGGTATCGATAACGATTTTTGTTTGTAATGTGTTAACTTTTGATACACAAGAGTACAGTAACACATTAAGTTTTACGGCAATAATATAGTATTTGGAGAGTTTAAAGAGTTGAGGGGATTTATGTTAGGTGCAGTTAGTTTATATATAGCATACATTTCGGGTAACTGTTTTGTGTAGAGGTTTTTAGTAGGGCGGGGCAAGGCGCATGCAGGCTGCATTTTTTTGTGTATTGAGAAATTGAGCGTGAGTGGGTGTGAGGGGGTTGTGTGTGGTGTGTGCAGGCTTGTTAATTGTAAATGCACTCTTAGTACACAAGTTGAAACAGACAGTTAACGGTTAGATACACGCACATTCACACCTGCTACAATTAGACACACACACACACAAACATACATACATACAGAGTTGGCATGTACTTACAAAGCGCACTCAGCGTGAGCGTTTGGCTGGCGCTCGCTGGCGGCGGTGGCGGTGCCACGCCCATTAGCTGAGCTAAGTTTAGGCTGTGCTGCGCATGCGTGACCAATTGTCCAGCGCTGGGCGCATAGCTGGCGGTGAGCTGGCGTTGATGGCTATTGATGCTGTTATTGTTGCTATTGGGGATGTGACTGTTGCTGCTGCTGATGCTGCTGATGTTGCTGATGTTGCTGATGTTGCTGTTGTGGCTACTGTGAAGGCGGTGGCTGTGACTGAGGCTGCTGACGCTGCTGCCACTGTGCTGCTGCTGCTGCTGCTGCTGTGATGCGTTAAATAGTGTTACCAGATTCTGCATAGACATGGGTGCACTGGCGAGCAGTCCAGCGCCAGCAGCATGCCCGGCGGCAGTGAGCCCGCCGCCGCTGCTGCCGCCGCCGCCGCCGTAGCCGGATGCGGCTGCGGATGATGCGACGCCAAGTGGGAGAGATGATGATGATGGTGGAGCTGATGCTGCTGCTGCTGCTGCTGCTGCTGACCCGGCGACAGCTGCTGCTGCTGCTGCTGCAGCGTTGGCAGCCGATAGAGTTGCTGCTGCGCTGCCGGCAGCGCCGGATGATGGGCCGTGTTGGCCGTGGTGGGCACTGTTATCCGGTGGGTGGAAATTTAGTCCTGTTTTCAGTTTCCATTTTTTTTTTTTTTTGATTTTTTTTTGTTTTTTTTTTTTTTGTACAGTTTTTGAGTTTTGGTTTATGGTTGTAAGGTTTGGTTGAGTTGGTTGATTGATTGATTGATTGATTGATTTGTTTTGTACATGACCACAGAGTCAATCATAGACATACCAAAAAATGTTCAACGAATATTTATATATATAAAAAACATAGAAGAAAACACACACCCAATTGGATTATTTACATTTACAAGAAATTAAAAATTAATTTTGTTGATTTTTTGTTTTCATGTAAATATATATAACATACAAATCATAAAACATAAATAAACAAAAAAGAGCAAACAAATCAAAATGAAAAGATAACGTAATAAATAAAATAAAAGGTGTAAAAAACATAAAATAATATAAATATGAATCAAGGCAAGAAATAAGAAATGTAATATAAAAAAAATTTTAAAAAATAAATGAAGAAAGTAAATTGAAAATTTTTGAACTTTTAAATAAAATGGATTTTAAATTAAAGAAAAAAGGTAAATGAAAATATAATTGATATAAAATAAATAAAAATATTAAAACGCATAGACATAAATTCAATTTCAAATGCAGTTAGACATATAATAATAATAAAATAAATAAATTAAAATAAATTAATTATTGCATTTGCATTAAAAGGCGCTATTAAAAAGGCTGCTCGAAATGAAAGGCGTGGCGGGATTTGAATTGATTTTGGACGCTGAAATCTGTTGTTCTTGTAACATTCTCATTGTAAATTTTGTCTTTATGAATTGGTTGATAACTAAATTAGTTTGCAAGCAGCTACACAAAACGAGACTCCTGAACATAAAGTAGAGTACAATAAAATTGATAGAGCGAGACAGTTAGAGTGAAAGGTAGAGAGACGGAGCGAGCAACATATAAACTGTCAGGCATGTGTGTGTATATATATATATATATAAATGTGTGTCCGTGTGTATGTATGTGGCGTGTGGCATGCCCACAAATATAGATGAGCACAGACATGGGGCACAACATTCAACAAAACAGGCAGAGTTTTTAGATACCTTAACTGCTTGGACCTTGTCTTTTGCTTGTGAGTTTTCACTATTTTCCAAGGCAAAATTCACTTTGAATGAGCTGCAAGTTGGCCGCTGGAAAAGCCATTATTTCAACTATCATAGACAATGCATTTTCTTTATGTTAGCACCCACTTAGATCCTCAGGGCTTTGTCGTCTTCATAAAATTTTAAGTGCGCTTCACCTGTGGCCAGGTGCACCGAGAGAAATTGTTTGTCTACCAGAGGCAAAAATTGTCTACAATTTTATTGTGTTTTAGCTAAATTTGGGCAAACATTTTTGAGCCAACGTATAGAGATTTTTAACGCTCTTGAATTTTTGAAATATATAACAATAGATTTAACCTGGTAAATAAATAGACTCTTCTTTACAGCATATTTTTTGCCATGTTTTGGCCTGCTTTACCAAAGACTTAATTTTGATTAAACTAAAACTGTACGTTTTTGATTTTGCCGTTTTAGAAAATTTGTTTCAAGTGTAGTCGCACTTTGAGTCTACTTTTTTTTTCGTCCTTCTCCTTCTCTTATAACTTGTGCATTTGTTTACATGCCAGCGCCCTTCTCAGTGGCCCGGGGCTATTTGGTATTACCAGGCGCTCCTCGCATGCCCCCCCTTTTGTTAGTAATTCTTATGCCTTCCTTAGGCTCTTCTTGCGCTAGCTTTGATGCTGCGCTGCCTGTGGGGCTTGGCGTGGCTTATAAAAATTGCAGGCCCAAATATGCTAGACGTGTGTGGCCAGGTCAACAAAAAATTAACCAAAAAAAAGTAAATAAATAAATAAAATGTTGCCAAGGCAGGCGCACACAAAGGCGTTTGGCAAGTGCCACACATGCTGACGCGCCATGTTAGATAATTGGCACAAGCCACGCCCCTTTGGCTAAAGCTTAACGCGAAACGAATGTTCTTAAACAAAACTTTCAAAGCAAATTGGTTAAATCAGCCACATTTACAGGTTGCACACTTAACGGACGGGCACTCTTTCGTTATTTTTTTGTAATTGTGTTATTTTTTTTTTAGTGCGCTCACATAAAAGGCACGTCCCATACATTTGCTGACCATCAGCGCACACGCCCCATTTTGAGTCAGAGTCTGCGTCTCGGAGTCCGGTTGCTGACATTTAAAAAACGTCATTTGTTATTCAAGTGGCATACGTCGCTCTAAGTTGCCTCTAACTGCCCATCTCTGGCCCTGACTGTCAACGCTTACCGTTGTCGTTAACTGTTCCTCATTTGCCCCACCAGCTGCAGTCTGTGCTGTACGTGTCAAGAGTATATTGACTTGGACATGAAGCTTGCAACAACCGACTAAAGAAGACAAATCGATGAAATGCGCAGAGAAGCTTGCATTATATTCCAGATATTAAGAGACTTTACTGGCGTAAAGTATTCGATACAGTGTTTTTATATATTCGATATATATATATATTTTCACCTAGATCTTCTAGGCTGAGCTATAAATTTGATGGGATGCAAAGAAATGTCTTTTGTCAGGCCGAAATTTCGAAATACTGTGAAAAACTGAACGTCATAGCCCTAAGATTAGCTTAGCCAATCAATCAATCAGCCTACAACTGTTTTCTTTTGAGATACAAAGGGTAGAAAAATTCTTGAATTGTGCTATTTTGAAAAACATAATTCAAATGCTGCAAGCTATTGGAATATATTCGAATAAGCTTTTTTTAAATGATTGAATGATTGATTCAAACTTGAAACTTACTCAGTCTCGTTCCTTTTATGTTATTTATTTAAAAAAATTGTGTTCATCATAACCCGAGTTTCTTATTGAAGAGCATTCGAATGTGCCGCGTGTAAGGCGGGTTACATCAACATCTACATCAGTTTTTTTTACGATTACATCACGCGCCGCTCAACATTTGGCTGTCTGTGATTCTTTTCGTTCTATTGTTGCTGCTGCTGCCAACTCTTGTGCTTGATTTGTTATGCGCAAAATGTGCACGTCGTCGAGACTGGCCAGACGGGCTGACGGGCAGACGGGCAGAGAGACAGTTGAGAGTTGGGTTGGTTGCGAAAAAGGTTTCATAGTGCCGTCGGCATGGGCGTGGCATGTTGGTCATTCTAATGAAGCGCCGTTGCATATGCAACACGTTCACATTGACGCCACGTACGTGTCGCTGTATTTGTGTCTGCCTCTCTAACTGTCGCCCATATTTGTATCTGGCAACTGTTCTGTTGTATCTTCAGTCCGAAATCTGTGCAATGCCTTGGCCATTGCCAGCGCCCGTCCACCTTTTAATCCTATTAGAATTTTTGTTTTATTCATCATGCTCTTTAGTTCGGCCTGCTGTTCAAAAGCTACCCCTTTAAGCAACAGTGTTTACTATATCATTTTTATACCCTACACCCATTGCGAAAGTGTAAAAGGGAAAGCTGGTTTTGTGCAAATGTTTATAATAGACGGTAAAAGTCAACTGTGACTCCATTAAGTTTATATATAATATCTGAGGGATGTCGAGCTGTCGACTTAAGATTTCAGACATATAATTCAATTTGTCATGCGTAGAAAGAGCTTAGAATTATTGTTCGATAACTTCTTATATTTTTACAAAATCCATAAATAACAACTTTGATTATAGGATCTATGTACTATGTAGCATATGTAGCATAGGAACATTGCCCTATTTTCATACCTCATACATTTTCCTCAAACTTGACAAATAAAACGTTATTAATAAAGGTAGATCTTTTGTTTATTTGTATATACACACAGTTGGGTGTCATATTTAAGCCCTGAAAAGCCCCGAAGTTAATAAAGAATGCATTTCCTAGGCATAGTATGGGGCTAGGTGAAGAAGAAGCCCAGTCGCCGCATGTGTGTTGCTGTGTACAGGGTATCAGCTAGTCGGCCACTCCTGTCTAGAGAATTCATACTTGCTTCATTGTTCACGCTCTGTTCTACATTTATGTAAATTTCGTTTGCTTAAATTGAAATTAATTATTTGACAGTTGTCGCTTACAAAATGACTGCAGAGACACTGGCTTCGGCTTAGTGGAGGGCGGGGCCAGGTGTTGGTGTTAAGGGGGGGGGGGGGGGGGGGGGGGGTGAGGGGCAGGTCCTGTTCGCCTGTTATTCATGTCTTTGTTAGTTTCCCTTTAGCTGACTTTGTGTCAGTCGAGAGAGGTCGCTTGTTATAAATGAAGCGACGCGACAAGTTAAGGGAGAACACAGAAATAAAATGGAAAATATAAAAAATAAATAAATGAAAAAATTGCTGGCTTTTGCAACTTTTACATTAATTCTTGTTTACTTTTTTAAATGCTCAACAAATGACTGCCGTGTCCAGGCGCTTAGTTTGCTACATTTAAAGTCATTTATCTTTCGGCTACGCAACAAAATTTTGGCGTAAAGCAAACCCAAAATGACAACTGGAGACCCAACAAGAAAATGTGTGTTATTAAAGCGAGTCCAGATTGACTAACTAGATTTGAAATCTAGAAGATTGAGGAGTTCCGGATAAATAAAACTGGAGATTTTTAAAGATTATAGAACTGGAAATTTCTACAGCCTCTTATGCTGAATAAAAAAGTTAACTACTTAATAAAGCATAAGGAGGTTAATTGTTAGATTGGTTTGTGGCAGAAATATGTGTAACCTGATGTTAATATTTAACATTAGGTTAGTTTTAGGAATGCTATAATGCCTAGTTAGAGTTCAAGTCTTATTATTAATATCAAAGTTCATGTGTTTTATTCTTTTCGATTCAAGATCTTTGATCTCTTATATATAATATTTCAGCTTTTAAGTATTCAACAAATCTTCAAGCTTAGCTTTTACAGCCTGTTCGCAGCTCATTCAAAGTGTTTTTTCCTCTGATTTTCTAGCCAATCATTTCCTTTGTCTTGATAACGTTTTTGATTATCTTCTTACTAAAATCGAATTCACATAGAAAACCAAAATAAACACACAAAACTAGATGCTAACTAATTAAAATTCCAAACGTAAAACAAAGTTCGGTGGCGAAACGAAACGAAATGCACAAAACAGATAAATTGATAGATAAATACAAAATTTGTAAAGAGTACAACGAGATAAACTAAACACGCAATTAAATAAAACAAAAGAACATTTTATTTTTTGGTTGCATTAAAAAAAATATACGAAAAAACACAAATCACAAAGTGCGCGCAATTAATACGAGAATTACACAAGAAATAGTTTGTTTTTCGAGCGAAAAACAAGGAAAGAAATATATATAAAGAGAGAGAGAGAGAAAGAGATGCAGACAGACAGAGAGATAGAGAAGAGAGAGAGAGAGAGAGAGAGAGAGAGGGAAAGAAACACTGTGGTTTTTTCTGGTTGTGGTAATGACTAACAGCTGAGGGATCGTTCACGTTGGGAGTTTTGTTTGGGGTTTGGAGAAAGGGTCTTATCGACTAACTAGTTTGGGGTTCGAACCCCACGCACTCACCTTGCAGATAGTGTGCCGGATGCAGAGCATAGGCCTGCATATGCTGATACAGCTGCAGGTGGGCAGCCGATGCTGGTCCCAGCCCGCCCGTCGGATCTGCACTCAGGTGATAGGCAGCTGCTGCCGCAGCTGCTGCGGCGCCTGGCGTCTGTGCATGATGCGGACTGCTGCCGAGCAAGGCCGGCGCCAATGAGGCGCTCAGCGCCGCCGATGTGGGCACCGTGACCAGTGTGGCCGTTTGTCCGGCTGCTCCGGCTTGTTGCACTGGCGGCACACCGGCCAATGCGGCTGCCATTGATGGATTCGTGCGCTGCGCTGCCGGCGCTGCGGCAATCAGCGCAGTTGCCGTGTTCGCCGTGGGCGTGGCAGCAGCAGCTGCAGCCCCACTGGGCGTTTGGGTGAGTGCACTGATGCCGCATATGGCCTGCAGCTGCTGCATTTTCTTTTGGTCCTTCTCCTTTTGCGTATCTGCGAACTTAACGACCAGCGGCGCCGAACAGCCCTCCATGGTTTGGCTCTGATGCAGGGCCTGAAAATATGAGAGGGATTTTGTTGTGAAGTAACTGTTTGAAATTAATCTGTGTATATACAATTACAAGTGAATGTTCTGAATGACTGATTGAATGAATGCCTGACTGACTAACCGATCAACTGATTTACTGTGGTTGAGAGAGGGATTTTGTTATAAAGTTACTGAAGATAAATCTTTATATATAACACTGACTGTTCTCGTTGACGTCAGTCAATCAGCTAGATTAATATCCTGATTAACTCAATCAACTTACAGATTGTGTGAATGGTTAAGATATTGGTTGGGGGATAGGAGAGGATATACATATTGAGGGAGGGGTTTGTTATAGTTAGTGTGAAGTAATCTGTATATAAAAGTGAATGTCCTGATTGACTGACAGCAATTGATTGACTGAACTGAACTGAATAATTGACTGAATGATTGACTGATTGATTAGCCGAATGATGGCTGACTGATCGTCAGTATCTGGACAATCAATTGATATACTGATTGACAGAGCAACTGAATAACTGAGTATAACTGAAATATAAAAATATAACAATTATATAGTGTTCTTAATAATTCTAAGAGCTCCCATGTCGGAATCATCCATTTACTCAAGCACTTATTTAATAATTTCAATTGAACTCGATGCCACTTGAGTTAAGTTCCCTTGAACGCCTTTGCCCCAATTACAATCTTCGTCAGCCCCTGCAGCTCATCGAAGTTAAATGCAGCGCCAAGAAGACATAACGAGGGCAACGTTAGCTGTACACATAATTTTTATGGCCGCAGCAAAATAATGACGCGCACTTAAGCTAGAGAAACGCGGGCAGTAACAAATCCAATGGTTGTCCAAAGCTTCCTGCGGCTCTGCTGATCATGCTGCTGCTGCTGGTGCAAACCACAGCAATTTTGCCTAAGCGACTTAATTTACACCTTTCACTAAGCCTGACAACAACAAAAGCAAACAAATGGACACGAAACTAAAACATAAACCAGGCCAAATCGCGCCCGTTGGAGAGTGGTGGAGGAAAGGGAGGAGGCGTGGTTGGGGCAACGGAATGGGCCCAAGCCACTTTAGTCATTTCCCGGTTTATGTAGACTTTATCATTGAGACCAGGCGACGAGCCTCGCCAACTTCCGCTCAATTGTGGCCGGAGCCGACAGTGAAAACTGGCGGCTGTGGCCGGGGCGGCTCTTGGGTATCGTCCCCCTCGTCCTGAGTCGGGGGCTGCGGTGTATCCTGGCACAGCCAACAGAAGTGCTCTTTAATTACATTGACTATAATTCTTGCGGCTGTGGCGCGACTTTTATGACCGGCTGCTGCAGCTGCTGTTGTTGTTGTCGTTGCTGTTGTTGCAGTGCCGCATCCTGCTGCTGGCAACAAAGTAATTAGGCAAATTTCCGAGTTTTTAAACAGGTCACTAAAGTTGCTGTTGTCCTTGCTGGCAAGGCAAAAAGTTGAAGAAAAGTGTACTAGAAGCACAGGCTATATAGCACAACAATACGTTTTTTCTTCAATTAAGAAGTGCTAAGGTTATTGCATGGCGAGGCGATGCGTTATAGTAAAGTTAAGAGATTGTGTGCTTAGACACAGATTACATATCTACAGAAAAAACTGTTTACTTTATCATAAATATCGTAGATATATCCTCCAAGCGATACTGAATTCTGAAAGAATGGATAAATTTGGGTACTGTTGGAAATAAAAGGAAAATGATTTACATTTTGTGTTCCTCAGCAGCAGCTAGTGCGTTTTGTCGCCTGTCAGTACCGTAATCTAGATATGTTTGCCCAGCTGAAAAACGAGTTAAATGACCTGGTAATCAGCATGAAACTCTACTTACAGTCCGAGCCAAGAGCCCAGAACCACTTGACAAATTAGCGCGAAGGAGCAAATCTGCATGTGATGAAAAATTGTGTAGCATCATTTGCTCTACATACCAACGGCAAATAAAAAGCAGTCTGCGGAACGCAGCAACAACAACAACAACAACAACTCCGAGTGGTTGGTGGGCGCTGGGCGTGGCAGCTGCGCTATTCTGTTGAAATAAATTGCTGAGGTTATAAACATGGCACATTAATATTAAATGCATTTCGCTCTAGCTCGTTGGCGTATTGCATACTTTCAGGCGTCAATGGACTGCAATGACTTGCAGCTACTAGCCACGCCCACCGCCCACAGCCAACCCCTAAGATCCGAGCCCTTAACTCATTCACTCGCTTACTTTGCCAAATCATTTGGCCAGCGCCGGCAACAGCAGCATTGCGTTTGGCTTGGTGCGTGATTCGCATTCAGTAATTTGACTTCTAATGCATTAAAATTGCACAACACACACACACACATATATATATATATATATATGTATACATATTTATATATGTTTTTGTCTGTGTCTGTATATAATGCAGCTCGCCCGCAACACATTCATCTTGCAAAAGGCGACAAATTATGTGCAATGCACAGAGACAACATGTTTGAGTCGCCCACACTTTGGGTCCTCCCTAATGTCCCCCAAGCTCCTCCCACCCCGTCTCTAACACACGCACACCCGCTGCTGCTCTTCTTGCTTTACATGTGTTTGTGTTTGCCTGTCGGAAGTTTGTAATTTTGCCTGTTTCCGGCACAAAACTTGCATTAGTGTGACATGTGTGTGCGAGTGTGTGTTTATGTATGTTTGTATGCCTGTGTGTCTGTGTGTGTGTGACCATTGCAGGTTGGGCACATGGGGTTTGCTATGGAATCTGCTCTGTGCTCTGCCATGGCAAAAGCATTGCCGTTGACTTCTTCCGCTGCCAGCGGCGGCGTCTTGCTTGCATTTCTACTTCCTGTTGCAGCTGTTGTTGTTGTTCTTGTTGTTGCATGTGGTTATGCCCAGGCATTTAAACATTTACATGGGGTATGCTAGGCTTGCCAGGCATTCAGAGTATGCTTGTTCATTAATTATAAAATCATAAAAACGGTTTAATTACATATACTCGGGAAAGAAGTCTGCCAAAGTCGAGCGTATTTAAACATATAGTTTAATGTAAATCATCAAAATATTATTTAAAATATATTATTAATACATTATAAAGATTGTTTTGGCATTCTCAGTGCATACTCTGACTTACATGTATAAAACTTTTTTACGGGCATTTTTTTTATTGAATTCTCATCATTCTCAACAAGTTTGCATACTGAATTTTCACATAAGCTACTTGAAATTGATCTATAGAAATCATGGCTGAAATCCCAACAAAGTTTTAAGTGGTTCGCCTCACAGTTTGTAAGCCTGCTTTTCCACATTCATGGACTCCGATTTTGGTTCAAGTCTTGTTTCCTCTCACATTAACAGTTTTAAATTCCAAAAATCAGCTCAATAAATATTTTTATTTTTCTTTAACGAAATTAATTTGTCAATTCTGAGTACAGATCAAAATATGAGTGAAACTAAAACATTTCCCATAATATTTTTAATCGCTGAAAAAGTTTTTCTTTCGGTTCAGTTCAGGTTTTGGGGCTATGCTTATGTGGTAATAAATTATACTGTAGTTTCGGGTTCGAAGCAGTTTGGCCTAAAACCTTTCTGTAGACCTCACATCCTTCTATGATTGTAATATAGCCCATGGCTTGCTTATAAACATTTAATTAAATAGAAAGTTAATAATTAATGCCACCTGTGGCTTGTTACAGCAGGTTGCCAGGCTAGAACAAATTTGGCAGAGCTGATTTATTTATACGTTCAGAGAGGTCTTCACAGATTGATATACCCGACATCTACGTATTTGCTGGGTATATCAAAACAGGGATTGGTAAGATTTGTGTTTTATTGACAGATGACAAATACTTGTTAACATTTTGAAGAAGTTTGAGCTATTGATTTGAGCTTTGTTATTCAAAATTACAGGGTATTATTTGGCTAAGCAGCTATTAAGTGCTCTCAGTTTGTGTGTGTAGGTTTTTGCCGGCGTGCATCGTGTTTTATATGCGCGACTCTTGCCGCCACAGCAATTAATCATTGCGACAGTTTTGCGATGCGGCCAACACAGATACTTTCGCACACTCTCACACACACATGCTGCATAATATAACAATGGAATGCTTAAATCCTTAAAGTGCGCTTCTTACAATTCTGATCAACTATTTGATATATATGTATACAGATATAGTTATATCTCACCTTGATCGCCCCAATGGCATTCTGTTTGGTTGCGAATGTTACGAAGGCGCAGCCCTTGCTTTGGCCCACCTGATCCCGGAGCACGGTGCACTCCTCGATGGTGCCGTGGCCCGTGAAAAGTTGCCGCACATCGGCTTCCGTAAATTTTTTATTCAGCATGCCAACAAAAAGTTTGCGCTCTGCAAGAAACAAAAAAAAAAAAACAAAAATCATACAATTATACATATAAAATCCAGCAGAAAATGTTAACTAATTATATAAAAAAACTCACGTGGCAACAAAAAGAACAATTATGAAATGCACATTTACAAGTGGCAAGGAGGCGATGGCGGTGGGGTAGTGTGGAGGAGGGGCTGAGGGAGAGTTGGTCTTGTAAAAAATATGCAAGCAAACAACATGGCGACAGTTTTAATTGTTTCGATTGCACTGCTCACAGAGCGCAAAATGGGGTATATTGGGTTTGTTGTCAAGCTCTTCGTGCTCAAGACAAAATTTACCTTGCCCTTAATGAGTACAGTTTGGGATTCACTGTCGGGGGGTTACAGTTTGAAGGTCACAATGCCTATAATATAGGAGATTTATTATTTTGCAGAGTATTTTACAGTCTCTTGTACTTTACTGCGAAATGAATGGGCAACAACTATACATATTATGCTTTTAAGCCAGTTTGGCTATATATATATATTTGTGTGTATGTGTACGTGTGTGTGTGCGTGTGTTTGGGGTGTGGCACTTGACTGCAACTTCAAGTGGCATTCATGACTGCAGAAACTGTTGCCTGGCCCAATTTTTGAACTAACTGAATGAAGTATTGTTCGCTTGGCGAGTTTTCAACAAGTCAAATGAGCTTCATAAAGGCGACATTAAAAGCTGGCAGAAGCGTGCAACAATTTGTGGCAAGCAGTCTTTAGTGAAACTGATTTAACATGTGGCATGCGTAATATACGCAGAATTTATCAGCCATAATTAATCAGCCGGCAACTTTTGCAAGCAACTTTAAAAGTCATTTTCTGCGCAATTGACAAGCAGCTGCTGCAAGCAACTTGCAACTTGCAACTTGCAACTTGCCACCGACGGAAATAACTTTAAGCTGCAACAATAAATCCAAGGAACAAAGCTCGATTGCTGCCCAGGCCCCAGTAGGGTATTTGTGAGCAAACTTTTTGCATGGCAATTGCATGCTTTATCTTGGCCAAAACACAAAACACATACGCTGCCCCGCTCCCCGCCCCCATCAACCCCTCTCCAAATTGAACCCTACCCGCCTGCCAAATGCGTTGCAAGTGTTGTTGGCCAAAAGTTTGGAGCGCACATGCAAAAAACTAAAAACGCAATCGCAACAAATCGAATCATTGCAACAACAAAGCGCATGCAAAACTTTTCATTTTGCAACACTTTAGAGAAGCGCCCCCAAAGTTTCCACTGCACAGACAACACTCATACGCAACGTGGTGCCGTCCGAGTCGTCCGAGGGGAGTGCTAAGGGGTTGAGCTGATGTGGCAACAAAAGGAGGCATTGGCAACCATTGCCAGCTACATCTAGCTTCAAAAATAAACTAAGCATGCATTCCAACCACTCTCAAATACCCTAACCAAGGCTAGTCTGACTCGCTGTGCTTGTTTGGCCAGATAAAATGTTTGAAATTATTTTTGTGGTTTGTTTGAAAAACTTCGACACTTTTTTGTGAACAAGGAAGGGGTATCTTAGATTTTTCTTGAGTCTCTTTTTGAGAAGTCTTTAGGAAGTTGAATACGGATGGTAAATGTTTTCAGCATAATTCACTTCAACCGGGCAACGATTGGTAATTCTTCTGGATTACTTTCATTAGGTTTCAACAACTATGTAAAATTATATAATTTATAGTTACAATGGAAAATTTATGTAAATATTAAGTTTTTTATATAAACTAGACCAAATTTTATTAAGATCTTATTCGAGGGCAACAAATCTTCGCCAGATCATACTAACTGTTCCCTTTTCGGGTTCTTTTTTTCCCTAACTGGCATTCGGTAACCTTCTTGGGGCTTGCGTCGTAAGGTATAAATATAGAAAATTGTGTCGCTGCAACGGAAGTGATTGGAAATTGTTGCGTTTCGCCTGGAAGACGTCGATTTTTTGGAAGGGATGGGTGGGGCATACGATGCCTGGCACTCAGCTAGAGCCTCTGGTCTTGCCCGTTGGTCTTATCGAACGGAAAGTTTTTCTCCACACACACGCACACGCACACAAACACCCTGTTGCTAAATACACACATACATGGATTGCAGTTTGTTCATTCTTTTGTTTGCCGCAGCTGGCAGCCCAGGCACCTGCCTCTGACACAGGTGCGAGAAATTTATTTGAGGTTAGTTCAGGTGTGACACAGAAAGTAACATTTTATATATTTATTGTATGGATTTGCCATTTCAAGTTGCAACTTTGCGCCAGCAAAAGATAACCAAACTATATGACAAAAAAAATATATGAACAAAAATTGGGGGGCAAGAACGAACCAACTTATTGCAACTGACTCAGCGACAGGTGCAGCGATGTTGTTGCTGAGAGCTTGTTAAGCACCTCTGGCATGTGAGAAGTATAAAAAGAGAGGGGGAGGGGGGAGAGAGCTAGCTAGCGAGCGAGCGCCGCTGATTGGAAAGTTTTATGCGCACGTGATTTTGCACCGATAAAGATGGTAAAGTCGAGCCAAGTATCTGCAAGTACCTAGAAGTATCTGCAAGTATCTGCGTTGTATCTGCGAATGCGCGTTTGCTGTTACTGACATGCCATAAATTGCACTAGCGATAAAGTAACATAAATGTGGCTCCAATAGGAGCTGCTGGCTGCACTTAATTTAAAGCATAAAATATCGTATTTGGTGTATAAAGCCTGATTAGACGAAAATGCAAGCTTTGAAATGGGGAAACAATCCTTGGTTAGACTGGGCAAAAGACTGTATTGAGGGAATGTCAGGAGTTTTACACGTGTTAAGAAAGAGTCTCTTATATGCAATTATGACTTCACTAACTAGCATTTGTCTAGCCAAAATAAACCATTTTAGACAATTAACAAATAGTTTATAGAAATCTGTTTGTGCTTATTAGAAAAAGTGATTATTTATCTCTTACTATACAGAAAAGTTACGAATTATTTTCAAAGAATTTCCCAAGAAATTTAAAAAAAAAAAAAAGAAGGAGGGATGAAGAGTGAAGCTTCACAAATTGTGAAGCTTCACAAATTTCGCAGAGTTTCTTATCTTTCTTTCTTATCTTTCTTATATCTAATATATAAAATAAATAGCTACAGTTCATGCCGATCAGGAATATGTTAATATATCTTACAAGTTATATCATGCCAGTACCCTGCTTGTATGATAAAGGGTATCTAAAATCGATTGTATATCTCTGGTGCCGCATAAACTGAATCCTGACATGCTCATGTGCATCATTAACACACGCAATAATTCGACATTCGTAGACTTTAATGTCCACTGTATTATGTCAGCTCTGCGCAGTTTCTCAGCTCCAGTCAGAGGACAACGCACAGTTTCTTGGCAGTTGCAGTCAAGGAACCTCATTTAACCAACTCACGCTGCACAGCCAACATTGCTGCCCCCCTTTGTCGGCACAATTGCAGCTGTAGCTGCCCCATTACAGTTGCAGAAATTGCAATTTCACGACAATTACCACAAATTGGTTTCCTCAACCGGCGGCGCTCACTTCGTCCTCTCGAGTTGCAACTGCTGCTGCTGCCCTTCGTGCCTTCCGTCTTACAATTATGCAGAGAATGAAATGCGCATAAAGTTCGCAGGCTTCGCGCGGCATATAATTTTTGGGGGACAAACAAGCGCCCACTTTCCTGCCCGGCCCCGCCATGTAAGTTCATCTGACCCTGTGGCAAAGCCCTGACTTGGCATATGATGTCGTTAACTGTCTTAAGATTTATGTGCCGAGTCAAAGAGGGAAACTGCACTTAGGTCCTGCCCCTTGCCTCCTGCCATATTCACACTTCGCACTTGAGACATCAACTTTTGTGTCAGAGAGTTGGGCAAATTTTTGGGCAAAACTTTTTGTGGGCATGTGCACAATTTTTTATATCTGAGATCTTTTATTTTATTGCAGTTGCATTTTGTGACCTGCTCGAAAGTTAACTCAAGCAGGCATCTCATTCAATTTGCATGGCAATTAAATTTGAATTTTCTTCACTTTAAGTTCTTATTGTAAGTCTGGGCGAAATGGAATTTTAATTATTTTAACAAATTTGTTTGCCATGCATAAACAAATTAAGCTCTTTAGCAAATGTTTACAAGCTAAGTATCCAATGTAAAGCATACTTTTAGCCCACAAACACAATCAAACGCACTTAAGTATGCTACGGAAATTACAAAACAAATTTACAGCATATCAGGTAAATCGAAACGCAGTCCTCCGAATGCCGCATACACTATTCTTTGAGTGGATCTTAACGAGAGATTATTTTCAGACGATAATTGTTTTTTTATTTGTATTTTTGAGCGTCCAAAAGCTTTGACGACGATTATCTCTGTCAAAGTTTCCAACTTTATGCTAATAAATGCAGAACTCAGAACTTTCAGTTAAATAATATAAATATTTACATTTGTATTTATATACATATACCATATTATACTTTTATTATCTATATTAGATTCTTGCAATATCTTGCGTTAAGTGAAAATCTATGTAAGTTCGTTTGGGAACCTCACTCATTTCATTAACTTTTCCTTTTGGGTAAGTGTATAGGTATAACAAAAGTCAATGCATTAACCAGGACAATGGTTTTCATAGTCATAGTAGAGCAAAATGTTGAGCAAGAAAATATGCCTGAAGTGTTTGGGATTTGCATAAATATATTTATGCACATACACGCGTGCAGACATGTGTAAGACACATATGCATATGCAGCTATATGAATTGCTGGGAAATTCGTTTCTAATGTACGCTGCATTAGAATGCTTTGTTATGGTGAAAAGTAGAGGAAGCTGAGAAATTGTGGGGTAGTTTTTGTTAACTTATGTGCGATTTACATGCAAACCGAATTCAGATCGTAACTGGGGCCAATTTTGAGTGTGATTCGAAGGAGTCTGAGTTGTGTTGGTGAGGTGGGTGGGGGGCGTGGTTTGACAAGCGTGCAATATTCAAAGCATAGCCGCAGGCGTTACGGCAAAAGCTGTAAAGCAATACA